AAAATAAAGCAATAGAATATCAAAGATACTCACTCTTACGCGGATTAGTTACTTGTAATAGTAAATATATATTTGTAATTTCTTAATTTTTAATTGTTAATTGACACTTTATTTTTCAATTGAAAACTAGAATGCTCTAATCTGTTAAGTGCAAAACAAAATAAACCATTTAATAATAAAAGTTACTATAAAGGGTCATATACAAGACCCGGGTCTCTTACATTCCATCAATTTTAAAATCTATAATAGACCCGGGTCTAGTATACGCCTGAGAGTTTATATCATTAATAAAAAATTTGAAGAATATGCACAATTTATATTTATGGCAGGTAGTCTAGATATTTGAAAAAAACCAGGCTTGATTAATGTAGATCCTGCAATTCGAGCCTGGGTCTAATTCATAGGGGATCTGATATATAGGTGGATCTTTTATATGACCCTTTATGGTAATAACAAAAGTTAATAACAAAAGTTAATAACAAAAGTTAATAACAAAAGTTTCAATTGCATATATATTAAAAGAAAAGAAATAGATTATCGATTCAGATCTTCTTGATCCGCAACGCATCGATATTGAGAGTTTTCCAAACAAATAAATCTTATTCAAGTTAGAATACCAAGTTCATATTACACAAAAAATCTAATTACAGTAATTTCTTGGTTATTGTTAGAATATGGAATTAGAGTTGAAATGACATTTACACATCATCAAATATATCAAATTGGCCGTTATTATTATTTAGGAATTGGAGTTGAAATAGATAAGCGTAAAGCTTTTGTTATTTTTATGAAATTGGCATGGAAAAAAATGAACATAAATTTTGGAAATGGATTGGATTTTCTATTCGTATCGATGGGATGCTCCCTCTTATTATAATAGATTACTAATTTCCTGATACATAGAAAATCTTTGATATAGATTTGCTTCACCATATCAAAATTTCACTATATATAATTTTATTTTATTTGATTTTCTATATATCAGGAGAATTAGTAATCTATACAGTATTAGAGTGGGGTACCCCACTTTACTTCATAGAAAGACTTTAAATTTTTTATACAGTTTAAAGTACTTTTAAAATTACAATAAATAAATAAAAAAGTATATAGAACGTTTTATTAGGTTGTAGGACAATAATTGAAAATAATCAAACTTCGATTTTGTTTCAGGGAAGTTAACCTAATTCGGTCTATTTTTTAGAAGTTGTTATAATATATATTATGCTAACTTCTCTAAAGCAAAAAATGAATTTGATTATTGTTAATAGTAGCGTCCTACGACCCTAATAAGGCTTTCTACATAATGTTTTTTTATTTATTTGTAGTTTTTATTTTTTTTTTAAAAAAAAAAGTACTTTAAACTGTAAAAATTAAATTGATTTAAACTGCCAATAATATAAGTCTTTCTTTAAAAAACTATTTCTTTGATTTTTTTTATAAAACTGGATTATAAAGTATGACTAGAGAGGTTAGAGGTATGGCCTCACCTTTAAAATTAAAAAAAAAAGTATGACGAGAGAGTTTGTCTATGTAATTAAAACTAAAAGTCGAATCTCGGATTTAAAATAACTTCGTCTAGAGATGTACGTTAAATTTTTTTCATGTACAGTATACAGTCAGACCTCTATATAATCACATTTTTATAATCACACCTCTATATAAGCACTGAAATTTTTTTAAATATACTACTATAAATATATAGAAAAACCTTCTATATAAGCACAATCTCTTTATAAGCACATTTTTAAAAAAAGTTACTATGCTCCCAACTAGGTGATTATATTGAGGGTTGACTGAGCATAGCGGGCTTTATTATGATTGACCGATTTTGTAGATCATCTTATCATATTAAAGTCTTATTAAAGTAATGATTTTCTGTCACAAGATTGAATCCATCCTTCATTAACTATAATATATTCATTGAATATTAAGAAAAAAATGATTTTATATAATTAATATAAATATAAATTAAATGATTCAAATTTGCAACAATACAATACCCTTTTCATAATCTCAAGATCTTTTGCAACATCTTTTTGCTCCATTTCTCTTTGTTTAGGATTATATAAAGCAATGGTGAAACTTAAATCGCTACAAACTTCTTCAAATTCTTTAATATTCTTTTCAAATGCATATTTAACAGTATTTGGATTTAAAACCCTTTGCAAACATGACAATTGCGTAACTTCTTCAGCAAATTTCCTAATATTATCCAAAACATTAACAAACTTAACCCAAGTATTATAATAGTCTTGGTTTCTAAAATATTCTTCATATGCCTGATATTTTCGTTGTAATGATTTAACAGCTGTTTGTGCAATTTCAACACGATCTAATAGAGCCATGCATATTTTTTCATTACATTCCGCATTTTTATGGATTGATAACATTTTTTCAGATATGTTAGTAACCATGCTGAATAAGGGAACGAATGGGGTGATAGTATCTCCTACGGTTTGGACGGCACCGAATGTCTGATCAACCACTAAAAATTCCTTTTTTATGTCGCTTTCGTTATCTGATTCCATAATTTCATACCAATGCTTAAAATTTGAATATACAACTTCAGCTGTAGGTCTTTTTTGCGGATCTGAATCCATACATTGCTTAGCAAATTCGTCATAATTAGGTATTCCTGATGCGAATTTTGGTCATAATCCTCTACAAATCTCAAATGTAAGAGTATCATTATTGTCAAATGTATAACCATCATAAGAATTTTTTCCAGTTGACATCTCAGTCATTATAATGCCTAAACTATATATTGACCCGACAAGACTTCGGGTGCAATATATGGCGTAACTCCATGAATTTTTCTCTTTGAAAAGCTTTCATCTTTCACTCTGGATAATCCAAAATCTGAGATATAAGCTTCTTTATTTTCTTGATTTATTAGAATGTTGCCACTGTACCAGGAACGGAGTATGCTTGCAATACGGAGTGTATGGTTTCCTGCCATCTAGAATGGCGTGTAAACAAAATCT